TGGTAAGAAGAAGAAGCAGAAGAAGAAACTGTATAAGTAGTGTAGGCGATATAATTTTAAACGCTGCGCGTCGTCCGCCTCGGCCCGGCCGTATGTTGGGAGGAAGACATGATGCCAGGTCTGAGGCTTTTGCTTTCGCANNATATCGGGGTGCAGCGTCTGCGGGGTGAAGAGTGATGGGGTTTGTGCATAGACAAACTATATATAACTATATATATATATATAGATAGATAGATAGATAGATAGATAGAGATAGTGTGACAGGCACCCGGAAGGGGGGGAGGGGGGGAGGGGGGGGTTTTTGGTGCTCCCCTCCCACAGACAGCCCAAATCCATTGGAGGAGGCGAGACTTCACTGCCGGACCCTGGGGCTCATTTATGGGTTCACNNGGGACCCCCCCCCCCCCCCACAATGGTGGTTTTGAGGGGTGGGGGTCAGTGAGTGGGGAGGGGATTAAGAGGTGGGGAATAGAGGGAATCCGAATAGGAACCTCTGACCGCTTCGGCCGGGGCCGAGGCGAACCAGTAGTGTAAGTAGTCTAGGTAGTGTAAGTGTATGTGGTATTTGCGGTGTAAGTGGTGTAATTAGTAAGCAGTACCTAGTACACAGCAGGCAGTAAGCAGTAAGCAGTACGTGGCACGTGGCACATAGTAAGCAGTGGTAGCAGCAGATTTGATGCGAGGACACATGTATGCAATTGCAGTGAGACCGACCACCCATGATCTTTCTCGCCGGGTTTAGGCGCCACCGAGCCGACAGAGCTGAGTCGCACCGTTCGTATGTTTCGTCTTCTTCGGCTAGTTCGCGTCGCGCGAGCGCTGAAGCTGCGACGCGGATTTACTGCACTGCAGGACCCCATTAGTGTACAAGCCGAAATGGTTCTTGGGATCCCTAATTAACGAAATATACAGTCTTGCAAGCATTCCAAAGCTTTAGTCTAGCTGGCACCTAGATACTAAGACCGATGTATGATTCCGAATTGGTCGGGCTTCTACTGTGAAGTAAGCAAGGGTGCGGTGTGGTGCTCTGCCGGGTTCGCAGGCTTGAAATGGCTCAGCCCGATCGATGACATATTTGAATTCTAGGGTTCAGGGTAGGGTTCGGGATTTGAGGGTTTATATCAGGGCTATATAGGGTTTAAGGCTGTCGGAAGCTTTATGGTTAGAATAGGGTTCCTTTTTGGGGGGTTACTGCGGGTCCTCGACGGGTTCCATAGATGGGGGGGCTTTCTGTAGGTTTGTACAGGGGCAAGAACGACAGAATAGGGCTTTGGGGGCATGTTATCGGAACATAACCTCGAGGCTCCCGATATTTTTTTCGATGGAATTAGGCCCTTAAAGCCATAATACAGGATGGTCCTTTGGGACTTAACTCCATAATGGTAGTCTGGTTGGAGCATTTGGGTAAGTGAACATAATTAAATGAAGGAGCCCTGAGGTATCCTCATAGTACATCATTGAGTCCAATAGTGTATGCATACCTACCCTACTCTATTGCAAGATAGGTCCCTTGGCTTAGCCCCCCTTCTCAGTGTCGCAGGACGTCATCCACTCGCAGCGTGCCAGCCTCTATCTGAAGTTTTTTGTGAGTCTGGGTCAACTTCTGATGCTTGTCCACTGGATAGCCTGTGGTTGGTTTGGGGTGACTTGGCTACACACCGAGAACTGGGTGGCATCCAGTGATTTGCGTTACCGCGATTCGCTTTTCCAGTATTTGACATGCGTTCTGTGGTCCTTCTGTCAACTGGGTGTGGGCGAGAGCCCTTGGCAACCGACAAATACCACCGAAATGATCCTCGCCAGTGTCATTGCCTTCACGGCCCTCATCACCGCAGCAGTGCTAATCAGCACCATGGGAGAGTTGATTGCAGGGCTCCGGAAGCTTCGACAGGACGAGCTCTCGCAGTTTCTTGGTCAATCGTAGGGATCGTTGTTGCTTGCTTTGGTTGGGATCTACTAATAACTAAATTAGTTATTAGTAGATCCCCCCTAAACCCTAAACCCTAAAACCCCACTTGATACTTTGTAATGGAGCCCATCCCAGGTTCAGGCTCTTGCGCCGATACCTGCAGAAGCATGACATTCCTGTGGACCTTGGCCATCGGGTGACTCAGTTCCTACACAATCAGTACACAGAGAGGCAGCAGGCCTCGTCGTCGCAGACGCAAGCGCCTTTGCTAAACTCGTTTAAAGGCTCGGGATTCTAAGTGGTCTCTTTGAGGCGCTCACTACTGTTGATGATATAAATCCTGCATTACCTCAAGGCCCCTAAACTATGGGGTCATGGCAGATTCCTTATTATGGGTAATGCGGGATTTGTATCATCAACCGTACCTGCGACTTCCTTTGGGGTTTTAGGGTTTAGGGTTCAGGGGTTTAGGGTTTAGGGATTCTAGTTTAATTTGGAGCAACCTCCAGTTGCCGTGCTGAAGTGTGTTCATGGCTCTACAACCTCGATCCACAAATTGCAACGTGGGACTCCCCTTTGGAACAACATTCCTCTAGGTCCTGGACTATCGGTAGGGCCCTACAGCCCGAAACATACAGCCACATAGCCCTGCCCTGGAAGCCCAGTCAACCCACATACCCAAATGTGGTGTTTCATTGGTTGTGGTTGCGGTAAGACTGATTTAGGGTCTACGAGATAGTACTCCACTACATCCGTAACCTTACACCCTAACCATGAGCCTAAACCCCAAACTAAACCCTCAAACCCTAAACTCTAAACCCTAAACCCTAAAGGACCTCGCTTGAGGGTTCAGGGTCCAGGGTTGGCGGATGGAGACTCGAAGCCCTCAGGCAGAAACCCGACCGGTGGAACAAAAAGCCTACCTTCTTGCTGATATTTTTTATGGAAACCATACTAAGGGGATTTAGGGGTTTGGAGTTGTTGACAAGTTGTTGGGTTTTGTCTTTTTGGGGGTTTAACCCGTAAAACATGCTAGGATTTAGCGGCTACAGGTAAGACCTAGACCATTCATCCTAGACTCCGGAAAACTCCCAAGTTGCATGAGCTGCAGGTGCCTTTACTTGAGCTTCTGTCTCGCCCCATGTTTCCAGATGTCTCCTTGGCAAAGATTTTTTTGTGAATTGCTCAACGTTTAGAGTGCTGGGCCCAGAGTTTCTGGCTTTGTGGGTTTTGGAGACCAAGGGTGAAGTGCTTCGCTTTTGGGCTATGTTTTTTTTAGGTGTTGGGTTTAGAATTAACCTCTAAACCCTATAAAAGCTAAAAGCCCTGAACCCTAAACTCTAAACCCTAAGCTAAATCCTGTAAAAGCCCTAAATTGATGTTTGGAGCACTGGGCTTCTTTGAATTTGCGGTTTGTTCGGGATCGAGAGCAGCTCAAGAAGGTTTAGGGTTTGGGTTTTAGGGTTTTTAGGGTGTGGGTTTTGGGGTTTGGGTTTGGGTTTGGGTTTGGGTTTAGGGTTTGGGTTTTAGGGTTTGGGTTTTGGGGTTTTGGGGTTTAGGGCTTAGGGTTTCGGTTTTAGGGTCCTTCTTGGAATTTCACTGATAGCTGCAAGAATATCAACGCCACAGAGCGCCCTTCACGCGATGAATACAGCTCTGCGTTAGGTTTTGTGGGGTATGTCTCTGCTTTATGGGCTGCCTTAACCTACCAAACCCTACTTTTTTGTAGGCTCTTATTACAAACCCTAATATGGAATTTATAGGGACCCTACAAGAAAGTAGGTTTTGGTAGTTTAAGGTGTGCCTTATGTTGCAGGAAGCCTCTTCAAAGGGCTAGATCCGAAGCTTTGCCTGTGACAGTCATGCGTACACGAAGATAATGCGGCCCTTTCTAGAGCCCCCTATATACTCCGAAAGCAGGCCGTCTAACATCCCAGAAAACCCCACACCCTAAACCCTAAATCCCAAACCCTAAACCCTAAATCCTAAACCCTAAGCCCTAGATCCTAAACGGGCCTCCGTGAACGTCGAGGATGCAAGAGCTCCAGTTCGAAAGACATCGCCCCGTCCTCTGCAAAATCGGTGCCATCAAGGCCGGGGTTCAGGGTTTAGGGTTCAGGGTTCTGGGTTTAGGGTTCTGGGTTTAGGGTTCAGGGTTCTGGGTTCTGGATTTAGGGTTCAGGGTTTAGGGTTTCGGGTCTAGGGTTCAGGGTTTGGGCAAGGCACTCCTACCTATGCTTTGGGGTTTAGGGTTCCGGGTTCCGGGCTCAGGGTTAGGGTTCCGAGTTCAGGGCTTAGGCTTTATCTGGGGGCATTCATATTTTCCATAGGGTACTTTACAGGGTTCAGATTTATGGATTTAGGATTTACCTGGGTGCACGGTAGGTAGGAGAGCCGACCTACGGCTTCAACAGAGCTGCTGGTACTTAAGAAAATCTTCCAAAAAAAATATAGCCATGGCTGGACCCGTAGTTTCTGGGGCCTGCAGATGCCGAGAGAGGCCTGCAGACCGGGGTAAGGGACCCTTCGCTATAAGGGGTACCCAATACCCCCTTAATGAAGGAATGTATACCTTAAATCATAATAGTAAGGCCCCTATAATGTAAGGCATGTTTCTTAATTTAGGGGTATTGGGTTCTCTGGGTAAGGGGTGTTTATTGGAAGCATGGAAGATGTGTGGCAAAGTCAAGGCTTGGGGGCTTAGGGTGCAGGTAAACCTTAACCCCTTGAAACGATTTAGGGCAAACCCTTATAACCGTTAACCTGAACGGTTTGCGGGAGTTTGAATCTGATGCACTGGGGGGGGGTGTGCTTGACTTCAAGAGCCTAATATAGAAGACAGAACAATTACACACATTTTTCTACGTTCCTTACCTAGACCTGTATCAGAATATACCCCAAAACCCTATCCAGTGTTCATTAAGGGCCCCCCTGTCGTAGAAGCAACCGAACGACATAGCTGCCCGCAGTGTCAGGCGATACTCAGCAAGGACGATGCTCCTTGGTTGCAAGACGGTGTTCACTCGCTGCAATCAGGGGCTGGGGGACGGCATAGGAGTTGAGGTATAGGATTAATCGGCTAAGTATGCTCAGGCTTTGTCATTTTCATATGCAGTGTGCATTTTCCGTTTCAGGCTTCGGTTTCGGGACCAAGGATTCTTGGTAGGAGCTCAAGGACTTGAGCCCCCAGCCTAGCAAAGGTCCACTGCCGGCGAGTACTTCACAAGCTCCTCGCTGCAGATTTGTGCCTTTAGGGGTGACCTACGGTGATGGAGGTGCTGGTAGTGGTGGCTACTGTTACCCTGTAGTTTTTCGAGGCCATGAAGGTATGTCGTGGGATTTTGCGCCGTTCGTTCCTTCGTCCCGTCGAGAACAACGTCACTCACCATGCTTTCCCGATACCGTGTCTTGAAGCACGGTTATTTTTGCGCGTCCCTCTGAAAGCCCGATGTTCGCACTCGGACTTTTCCGCAGCTTTGAGGGAATTAATGTCGAGTCTTGCTATTGCCGGTACATGGTTTCTGACTGTAGTCGTCGTCGTCGTCGTGATTTTTTTTTCGTCGCAATCGTGGCCGTGGTCTTGGCTGTGGTTTGTGTGACTACTGGTTGTGGTGTTGGCTGCTCGTCTCGGTTTTGCTACTTATACTGGCATCACTGGCAAAATTGGCTATAGTGGAATTTCTCCGTTGGTCAGTAGAGGTACCTATTCAAAGTAGTCTGGAGTGCGACTCTGTAATCCCCACGGTCACGGGGGCTTTCACCATGAGGATGGCTTACGCCAGCTTGGACCCCATGGTGGCGGCAGCGGGGGATGTCATCTTCGTCGGTGGCCACATGGCAACGATGTCGTACATCAAGATGAATGGCCGCCTGAGCTACTTCAAGGATGGGCAAAGCACATACACACACCATTCAGTTCAGGCTTGTGGGGTTTTCCGGTATGGGGTCTGGGCAGTAGTGTTGAGGGTTTGGGGGCAGGGTGCTCAGGATTAGGGTTTACTGCGGTTATGTATCTCCCAATCTTCATGAGAGTTCAGCCTTGTCAAATTTGGAGACCCCAAACCCTACAAACCTTATAAAGCCATACAGCACCGTTGCGATAGTCCTATAGAGTGGCTTGTTGCTTGCGAAACCGAAACACTTCCGGCAACCACGTTGGGGAGCAAGACCGGTCAAGGTAGCAGTAGACAGCGCGGGGTTTCCGGGTGTTGGGTGTAGCCTTTGAGCGAGCCCTCGCCTAAAGAGTCGAATCTGGCCCGTGTCAGGGTGCCGTTCTTCGTGTTGCGTCTTCTCTTGCGTGGCTTTTGGTTTTTCCATTATAGGATCTCGACCGTAAACTGGCTAACTAGCTATAAACTGTAGGTACATTCCCACTGCCTCTCCCATAGGGCCCCCTTTTCTCCAGCTTCCTACATGCTGTATCAGGACGGCTTTTTTCAGCCTCTCAGTGGCGACCACTGGATTTCAGAAGTCTGTCTTTGGGCGGCTTGGCTTTGCCCTGACATTCCAAGTGCCAGTGCACACGATGGTTAGGGTTTATGGTTTTGGGGTTAGGGTTTAGGGGTTCAGGGTTCAGGGTTTAGGGTTTAGGATCCGTTCTAGTCCCTATGACCACAACATAACATACTCAACACCCTGTTGTTTGTATCGAAGCCCCATGTTTCACCGACTCCCGTGTCAGGAGGACCAGGCGACCTAGTGAGATGTTAGAAGTAGCCGTAGACCAACTGTGCTTAAGAACATGTGTACTACTGTTGATGATAAGAATCCTGCATTACCTTACGGAGCCTGAACTATGGGAATTATGGTATATCCCTTACTATGGGTAATGCAGGATTTATATCATCAACCGTAGTCCCATGATCATCTCAGCAGCCCGAAACCCTGCAATTCGCTGCGTCGACAGCCACGTCAGACCCTTTCTCCGAGACCCCTAGTAGCTGAGTAGGCGGCCTACAGCCCTGTGTATTTATATAAGATAGTCCTACCATACCTGAAAAGGTTACCAGTGTTTGGGGCAGTGAGCTCAGCAAGCAAGAGCCCAAGCCAGCACTAAAGCCCACAAGCCACACACCCCGACAACCTTATCTTCGAAGCCCTTTAGGCCCTAAGCCCTTCAAGGTCGAAGCTCCTATGCCAGCCTCAGAACCCCCATCCCCAACCCTAAACCCTCAGGCCCTAAACCCTAAACCCTAGCGCCTAAACCCTAGACCCTAAACCCTAAACCCGAAAAAAAAAATCCTAAAACCTCTGAACCCTCATCCCCCAGCCACCCCACGTGCCCTGCGCTCTTCCGAGGCTCCTTGGGTTTACCTCGGGGATCTCGCGCCATGGCTGCTTCAGCGTTTAACCAAGCCCAAAACATCTTAAGTACCTAAAAAGGGATCCTTAAGGGTTCCTTTAAAGGGCTCTATAAGGGATCTACTATAAGAGGGTTCTATAATATAGGGGCCTTAATAATTAGAATAGGATTTGGGGGTATATTTATACTATAAATATAATAAGGAACCCCCAAAACCCTATTCTAATTATGAAGGCCCCTACATTATATGGGCGGGGAGATACTTACCCAAACCATACTAGCAAGTCTTACTATAAACCCTACTTTCTACGATATTGGTACTTGGGACTCCATGGGAAGGGCCTGAATATTTGGAAAAGAGCTTTGGGGCTGCATATATGGGAAATTTTCTGTTAAAGGCTCTGAGGTGGTAGTAAAGATATTCGGAATAGCATGGCTTCTTGTTCAGAGCCTTTAAACGGAACCTTTCCAGATCCCCTTAACTCTAAACCTTGACCCCCTAAACTCCAGCGTCATGATAACTCTAAACCCTAAGCCCTAAACCCTGAACCCTAAACCCCTGAAGCAGACCGTTAAAGGCATCGTTTAGGGTTCTGTGGCGTAGGGTGTTGAGTTCACAAGGGCTCGGCGTTTAGGATGTTGGAGTGCTCGGTGTGTGGTTTGCCGATGTGTGTGTTTAGGGGTTTCGGGGTGTAGGGTGTTGGGTTCACAGGATTTTGGGATTAAGGGTGTTGGCACGTGGGGTTTTGAGGTTTCCGGCTTCGATTTATTGAAGAATGTTGTATTTCTATGAATGCTGAAGGCCGATACTGGAGAAAGTCATCACGCTTATTGGTTACGCCTTCCTCCCAAGACGTGCCCGCAGTGTTAGCATGATGTCCCTTAAACCCCCTCTCACCCTAAGCCCTAAACCCAAAACTCTAAACCCTAAACCCCCTCTCCAACCATGCTGAATTCCCAGGAAGGCTTTTGCAACCCCAAAGAACTTTGCTAAGCCTTCTCGAACCAGAAGAGAAGCCCCAAGATTCCGTTTAAAGCCTACAGTGAACTGTGCAAAATGGGTTTTCCAAATTCGGGTCTCTGTGGGGTTCCCAAAAGGGTGCCGTATTGAAATTGAGAGTAGCATTTGTTTTTGTTTCCCCACAGGGACCATGATTTTGATAGTTGCCCACATATACTGGGTTTTAGAGTACCATACTTGATTTTTTTTGGACCTGTTCCTTAAAGGAACCATTATAAAATAAAAGTCTATACTTTTTTCTCCCTGGTTACTTCAAAGTCCAGTATAAAACCCTACGTATAAATCACAACAGCCAGGCCATCAGGCCTCAATCTATCCAGGAGCCCATTTGAACCCTATAAAGCGCTGTAGAACTCCGCAAAGTCCTATCAAACCCTCTAGAGAAGCGGAGTCCTACTAAACCCCAAGCCCTGCACCCCTAAACCCAAGAAGCCCCAAGAAGCCCGAAGCAGCCCAAAACCCCAAACCCCAAGCCCTTAAACCCCTAAACCCCCCAAAAAAATCCTTGGGAAGCCTCGAGAATCCCTAAACCCTACACCCCCCAAGATGCCTTCAAGAACAGCGCCCAGGAGAGCCAGACGACCTCGGAGATTCTGAGCTTAGATGCCCAGAAGTTTTGCACGATCTTGGCAGAGAGTCTCTTGGATCTCTGATTTAGGGGGATATATCATGAGGGTTTAGGGTCTTAGTGGTTAGGGACTTTAGGGTTTCGGGTTTAGGGCTTCAGTTTAGGGTTTAAGGTGTAATCAGGGTTTACAAGGGTGCCTCTAAGGGCTTACCCTTACCCTCAAAGGACTCCCATAGTTCAAGGCTTTTGGGCCCAAAGACCCTATTCTATAAGGCTTTGGGCTATTTTGATTCAAAGGGTGAGGTTTCAGGGTTCGATGTAGGGTTCTAGAAATTCTATAGGGTTTAGGGCTTAGGGTTCTATACAGGGTTTAGGGCCTAGGCTTCTATATAGGCGGTTCAGAGTTTCTATATAGGTTTGCGGTTTAGGGTTCTAGATAGGCGGTTTAGGGTTCTATATAGGGTTGAGGGCCTGAGGTGCCATATAGGGCTTAGGGCGAAGGACTCTCGGTTTTGTGGTTTCACTTGACAGTTCAGGGTTAAGGAGTCAATATAGGAGCCAGAATGGGGATTTGGGGCCCGTATTATACTGTAATTATAATCAGGAGCAGAAAAATAGTACTGGTAAAAATTTAGGGCCCTACATGAAATGTTCTGTGTTTGTGCTTGTGTTCTACCGGGTTCTGTGGTGTTCTGTAGAGTCACATAGGGTTCTGTGGGGCTTCTAGGTTGTCAGTAAGTTTTAAGGCTGCATGATTTCGGAAGTCCGGTGTCCTTCTAGCAAGGATCTTACTATTTCGGGTTTAGGGTTGTGATAGCTCGTGGAAATAGGTAGTTCTCTAAATTAGGGTCACTTTTTGGTTCTTTTTAGAAGGGCGCCGTACTATATGGGTAACCCCAAAAAGGAACCCCAATTTAGAATTTGGAGAACTGCCCAAATAGAAACCTTATATTCTAGTGCCCTGATAGAAGCCCTATAGAAACCCTTCGAGAAGCCCTAATGTAGAATTTACCTAAACCCTAAATCCTAAACCCTAAACCCTAAACCCTCAAGAAAGAAATAAATAGAAATTGCTTGTTGCTGTTGGCCATTCGAAAGCTCGTATTTTCGGTCGGGACACAACTTTGCCATTTTCGAATAAACCAATTTCAGTTTCAGGGCTGCCCCTCAGCGCCCAGCCAGCTCAGC